TGCGCAGGGGAGCTGAGGAGGAGCCTTGTTAGGCTGTGCTATGGCGGATGCCATTGCTTGGTGGACTACACTTACATTGCAAGCCATTCTCTCTCTTCCTTGCGCGCGCGCTATCTCTCTCTCTCTCTCTCTCTCTCTCTCTCTCTCTCTCTCTCTCTCTCGGCGGGTAGACTTCACCGCGCAGAGCTTCACATCCACCGTTAAGTTCAACTGTAGCGTTAATATTTAAAGATTTGGCTTCGGCTATTATCTTGGGGTGGGCATCCATACGGCCAAACATGGGATTGTAGTTTTTCCGAAGACATGGAATAAGGGTGAAGCTATCTGTGTACATTTTTTATCTTCTATACAACTTTATGAATTTCTATCATTTAGTGATATTTCTTTTTATTTGTAAGTGATAGATCTTAAGTTTCATTCTTGTTAAGGCGAATTTGAATCATATTATTGTTAGCACATTGTAAGGCTAAGTGCACCTCTATCCCCTAGTGTAGATAATATTGTTTGTTCAAAAAAAACAAAAAACAAAAACAAAAATTTATGTCATTTGATCATCTTTGATTCATTTGATTCGAGACCAAAAATTAAGATGGGTCTATAAAAGGTAAACATGAGTGTGTGGATAGATTAGTTGTAAAATAAAGCGATTACGTGTTTGATAAATTGTATTTTGAGAGTGTTGTGAGTAGGAAAGGTAGTATAAAAGCGTTTAGTAAATTTTAATATAAAAGTGATATAATCGTGTGTATGATAAAAATAGACATGGTGGTGTGGGTCGGGATGCTGGTGATGACAGTGATGGTAAGGACAATGGTGGTGATGGCAACTGCAAATCGTTGCGGTGATGGTGGTAGTGATGGTGGGGACGGCGGTGGTAAGGGTGGTAGTGGTGGTAATTGTGGTTGTGATGGTGGTGGTGGCAGCAGCTGCGACGGTGGCAATGATGGGTGGTGGTAATGGTGGTGATTGTGCAAGGTTAGTGGTTGTAGTGGTAGGTGGTGAACGTCACTTTGTTCTCCAACAAAGAAAATAAATGTAGAATGATTAAAGAAGGGTATAAAATATCCATTAAAGGCGCAACTCTATTTTTTTATGAAAGTAGCTTTTAAAAGCAACCTACAAACTCCTTTTAAAAGCTACTATCTAGATGACATTACTTTCAAAATAAGCGAAAGTTTTATTTTTTTTTTTCCAAACACTTTTTATTGCTTAACTGTAATGTGAATTAGTTTTTGGTAAAAAATAAAATAAAAACCAAACAGGGCCTAACTGCGGTAGTCGTCTACCACTTATTACTACAGTTTTATTTTATGAATATTCCTCTTAACTTATAAGGACTTCCATAAAATTTTGAGTGAGTGTGATACTTATATATAGGAATCAGACAACTTGAGTTTGCTAACACTACTGCTACATTACTGTGACAGCCCGTCCCAAAAACATTTTAAACGTACGTGTAAAAAGACAGTTTTGCCCCTAGTTCGATTTTGTTACGTTTTTGGGTTGTTTTTGTGTGTGTGTGTTGGCATGTTTTGGGCCACACACCTTCTCCCACACACCATCACCTCCCTGTCCCTTTCCCTGCATCTGTCCCGAGCTCTCTCTCTCCCTTCCTATTCACCATACGTACGGACACACACACAAGCACACTAATCACCCACAGATCGAAGGAACCAAGCCCATATTCGAGCTCGTGAGGCTCGTGGGAACTCAACCGTACCATTTTCAGGTAAGAACTACAACAGTTTTCACATCGATTTCACAATGGCCGATTTGGGGTACTATTCATGCGAACGTAATTTCTCACGTTTTAGGGAAAATGAAGCTTGTAGATAACTTGGTGAGGTCCCAAGGAGGCTCGGAGTGGTTCGTTTGAAGAAATTGGACGTCGGGATCGTTGTATTTGGAGTTGGCCGGAGTTGGGTGGTTTGGACAAGTGAAATCTCGTGGTTTTCAACCCTTAAAAGTAGTATATTTATGTTCTCCTAGGTCTAAGCTTCATTTTGGTGGTGATTTCATGAAATTTGGATGAAAAACGAGCGAGATATTGAAGTTTGAAAATTTCCCAGTTTTCCGGCGCCGGCAACGTCGCCGGAGTCTCGCCGGGGAAGGAGACGGAATATTCCGTCAATTCTGACGGAATATTCCTGACGCCGTTAACGGAATCTGTCAAAACTAACGGAATATTCCTAACGGCGTCAGTTGACGCCGTCAGCGTGCCAGGCACGTGCCTGCGCGTGGCCGGCGCGTGTGGCCGTGCCTTGGCCGGTGCGTGGGGGAGCGTCCGGCGGTGGAAAATTTTTCTAAAAATTTGGGTGTGATCCTGAGGTTGTGTAGAGCATGTTGGTATATTCAATTGTCCAATTTGAGCAATGTATGAGAGGTTATTACGAAAGGAAGGTTATGTGCTTTAAAATTAACGTTTTTATAGTATTTTCGCATATAGGTGAGGCGTATCCCGAGGACGAGCGTGGTCACTCGAGGCAGGGGGCTACAACCCTTCCACTTATCAGTGAGTGGGCTTTTGGTTTTCCGTATATACCTATATACTTATATTTTCCCAGAAATTGATTTGAATTGTTAATTGCCATACGCCATGCATTAGATTATCGTTAATTATGGAATGTTAGTTACATTATTAGTTGTATATATATATATACACACACATGCATATTGGGTGCTGCGGACGCACAGGTAAGTGCCAGGTAAGTGTTACTTATGTTTACTTCTAGTAGTGATTCGAGATGCTTAGAGAGCTCATAACCTGCACCCCCGATGTTAGTGCTCCCGCCCAGAGTAGGGCACAGTCCTTCACGTGATGTTCACCTCCCGCACCACACGCTCAGCTTGGATCCAAGTTAGGTGCACAGTCCTGTCGTACAGACCACTTTAGGTGGTTCCGACTCGTAGGTGACCCGCGATTATTCGCACAGCCTTCACGTGATCGTAGCACTAGAGCGTTTATATGTGTTACACCCAGGCCTGTCGTACATACCACTTTAGGTGGTTCCGACTCATGGGCAGGTTCAGTTATTGTTATTGAGATTTGAGCTCTAGATGCAGCCGTACAGGCCACGTTAGATGACTCCGGCTGCCAGATGATATGTTATTGATGTGAGTTATACCTGAGCATTTGCATTTCGTTCTGAGGTTCCGACATGGCATATTCTTGAGCATGACTGGCATATATATTATATGTACGTATCTACGTTTATATTCTGGGAAGTATACATGTTTTACGGCGAGGGGTTAGAATATTGTTTTTGAAATGGTTTTTGGAAAAGCTTTGTTTTTGCCCACTCACACTTTTGTTTTGCGCCCCTCCAAGTTCTAGCTAGCTAGCAAGGTTGGTGGTGTCCCAGAGGGCTTTCCCGGCATTTCTGACAGACGTTCACCAGCGTAGGTCCACCTTCGGGTGTACTGTTGTTGTGTCATTTTAGTTTGGACTGCTTTAGGCTTTCTGCTCTGACTTATGTCTCACTTACACTAGCACTTATTACTTTTAACTTATGTATGCTAGTTTTTATTTATTCGTACTTTTACGTTACTATTTTACTAGCTTCCGCACTGTGCACATGGCTACGTCACTTCCACGTGACGGCCAACACGCCCTGATCTCGATCGGGGTGTGTCATTACTGTGAGTCTAATATATTGGTATCACACTCAAATTTTTCAGCCCGCTGTAAGAGTGTGATTCCTATATGAGTTCAATATATTGATATCACACTCATTGCTTCCAGCTTACCATGAAAGGCCTAACCAAAATGTCTTAAGTTCTAATCTTATAGGTATTAATGGAGTTTGAAATTCATACGCCGTGAGTTTGAGTCAAATTACATTATTACCATTGTAGGATGAGTTTGATATATTAATGATAAGGACAAAATAAAAGGTAAAGTGAATAGTATCATGATTGACTTTTTAATGTAAAAATGTGATTTTTCATTAACGTGAACAGTACTTTGAGTTTTTTGTTAAAACTCTCTTTGTTTTATCTCTATTTTATGATTGGTTACTTCATTTCTCTCTCATGGTATGTATTGTATAGGTGTCTTATATATGAGTTCAATATATTAAACTAAAAATACAAACTGATAACACTCAGATTTTCGGCTGCTATAGGAGTTTGATTTTATATTATTAGTATCACACTTAATTTCCTATCCGGAAGACTTTAGTATAAATATATTATTATATAAAAATGACCATTTTAGTTTAATTTGTTATGCAACGATACATTTACAAACTCACCCTTTTAGGGGTGAGGGGAGTAAATTGGTTTGATTTTGACTTCAAATAACAAGTTAAACAACTTAAAATCAACCAACTCCTCTTAGTGTAGATTATATCGTTTGTTTAAAAAAATCAGAAGTGTACCAATTGGGTTGGCTACAATTTTGAGCTTTGTGAACAGCCTTAAACTGAACTTGATTGACCATTACATATTTATTTTACATTAAGGGGTAAGAGCATAAATTGCGATCAAACTCGTTATCCACAAAATTTAAATTTATAATCTCTCACTTACAAAGGAAGAAAATACGACCATGTACTTAAAATTGAAAGTTGAAACTATAAAGCTATTGACTCCTAAGTTGTAACCATATTTGTTACTAGCCCTTGAACTTTGGCAACATCTTAATTTTTAGGATGATTTGATGCTAGAAAATAAAAGTTATGTAGTAAATTGTGGATTTTATTGTTATAATTGGGCTAATGATTATTAGGTTTAGGTCCAAACTGCCCGAACCAAATCATCCAAAATTAATTTGGTATGATATCCCTTAGAATTTTTGTCACATCCGAATCGAATAATATGAGTGAAAATGGGCCCAGATAGCGGTCCATCTTGGACCATGTCCATTTCTTAGAACATTGTTCCAGTGAATAAAGGACCTAAATTATAGGGAGAAATTCCCTATAATTAATTTTATCTAATGGAAAAATTAGTTGTATTTTTTACTTGTAAGTTCAATTCTTTAAAAACAGTCTACCAAATGCATTTTACACTCGTTTTTTGTATTTGTAAAACGAAAAGTTTACCAAATATAAGATTGTAAGATCAATTTTTGAATTGTTTAACCCTTCATTTAACAGAAAAAATAGATGGAGTTGACGCAAAGATCAATCATCAGACATGTCCTGACTTGCTTTCCTCCATGAAACGAGGGTGTTGACATGAGGCATGTAAGACCGCCGGATACATCCATTTACCATGTCGACCTTCCTCATCTCTTGGTCTCGAAAACTATAAGCATACAACGAGCCATCTTCGTCTCTCTGGAAAATAATATCTCCCTTGATTCTTAAACTGAAAAGAGGAACCATGTCTATGACCGAACCCACCGTGATACTGTGATTCTTTGTCCAGACTTCCCCACACAAACCTTTCAAGATCCAAATGTCGATATGGTTCACGTCTTCATGAATGACAAAACTCAAAAGGCCACCCATTTCCAGGATCCTGTCATGAGTTCGGCTGGGTTTTGGGAGCGGTATTTGGTGAAACTTCTCCTTATCCACTTCCATAGATACAATGTAATCGCTGCGGTCAACTTCAGGAATCCAGTGAAGACCTCCAATGGCTGAAACAGGTTCATATCCAAACCAACGAAGAAGCCTGAATGGAGGGCCAATTACCTCTCTCCATGCTTGTGTCCAAAGACTCAAAATCTCACAGCTGTCAAACCCCAACTCATCCCAAAACAAGTGGACTACTTTGTATTCACCCGTAACATCATTCAGTATAAAACCATAGGATTCACGATGTGGATGAGATAAAGTACCCAGAGGAAGTGCAATCAGCTTCCTCGTCACAGGATTCATGACTGCCAGTCCTCCTTTCTTCACCATGTTATCAAGCAAAATTAGACCATTGCAGGTGGCTCTGATCTTGCCCGAGCATTTTAAATTGTACTCTCCTATCTCACTCTTATCATTTTTGAAGTCCAGAAACTGGATAGAATACATTGGAGAGTTTATGAGAGGGTGGCCAAAAATGGGGATAGGGTTTGGATGAAGAAGTTTTAGTTCAACCGAGACAGTGTTTGGGTTTTCTCGTGGTATAGAAGCCTTAGAATAAGGGTACAAACTGTGCTTTGGAATTGGTGATAGAAAGATCAAAACAGATTCAGAACGATGGAGATGAGCATCAATGAATTTGGGGTTTTTAATTATGTTATACCAAGGCTTGCAGACAAACCTTGACCTTTGAAGAGAGTCGAGAGGAAGTCGCACAAGGATATTTGATACACAATCTTTATGGAGGTAAGGGGCTTGTGCTTCTGGCCACTGTTTTTTCTCTTCCTCTAATTTCTTGGTCAACGATCTCTCCTCCACTAACCTTAATAAGCCTGCATTCTTGTTTCCAATTAATTTCTCCATTATGGCCTTTTAGTTTAAGCACTTGGCACCTACAAATAAAGGATAACGTTACAAACATTCATTTCCAAATGAAGTAAGTATTAAATAAGCCAAAAATAAAATATAAAACAAGAGAGTGAGGATAACAATGGCTTGGCAGCTTTCAGGAAAGCATCAAATGAAGTTATGAAACGTACTATGTGGAAACCTATTTCCACCGCCCAATGAGAATATTACAAGTGAACTGAAGGATGCCGCCTTCACTGTACCCCTCAAACCAACACGGGAAAACTATGCACGATCTCGTCCTGCATTAAATGAGGTAGGTGAAGCCTCGACTTGCAAACCCACAGAGGAAGCCTCCTCTGTTGGGCTCGCGTACCAGACATACCAATTATTGCCCAAAAGCTCATCAACCCCTGCAGGTCCTAATAAGGAATACAACCCAGATAACGGTTGATACTGCGACCAATGAGCACACACCACATGTACAGCTAAAAGCTACAATCATTCTTGAGTTAAGCCAGTATAAAAGGACCAGGTACGACTACGCTGGGGGCATGCTATTCAGAAGGTCCTACTTAGGATGACATCTAACTTGCTTAGGACCAAAAGAAGCTCAAAAGGTATTAAAAATATAATTCACGACGGGGAGTGTGCCCTAGTAAAAAAGCCTCTAAAATCTAGCCAACTATGCACTAGGATGCCAGATTTATGTGCACAAATGAGACAAGTGTCAGAGCTTCTCCGCAACACCTCGACAGCCACTCTAGAAACTTAACCCCCAACCTCTGCACAGAGCTCCTGGGGATATTTGCTGCATCCGAGTGGTTTCCAATTACTTCACAAAAATAGGTTGATGCACTGCCTCTGCATAGACTTCTAGCAGAAAACAAGCTACCATGCACAAGGATATAAGGATAAAAAGATACAAACTATCGCAATACAAACTATCGCAGCTTGCATACCAAACTAACAACAATAATAATCATCAAACTACAGCACCCCACCAATCGCAATCGACATGAATCAAAGAAAACAGAAACTGCTTCACAATTCTTACACTACACTATATAATTGTCACCTCCTCCTCCTCCTCATCATATATAAAATGATCCAAACCAAACCTCGGTGTCGTTTTAGAGCGAGATTGCCAAACAAATCATTATACACACACACACACACACATATATATATGCATATAATTTCAGGGTATTAATAGTAACGAAGCCATTAATTAAGACAGACTACGACTTGACTTTTGTTGATCAAATTCAATTCAGAAACAGACTGGTTAGCAAAGAACAAGTAAGTATTTATTTGACAAACACCACATCACACCACACCAAAACATCCACGGTGGCAGGACCGGTGGTCCACAAAGCAAGCAGCCGGCCCTCCCTCCCTAGATCTAATCGCAAGCAGGAAAAAAAACAAGAGGGAAATTCAACGGTAGTTTACTGAAAAAGGGCGCCCCAAGCTAACAAGGGTCCCGCTTTACGAGGGTCGGGGAACGTCTAATTCGACGGTAAGCAGCCTTACCTTGCTTTGCAGGCTTCCACGACTCAAAAATTTGACCCTTCAGTCACAAAGAAGCAACATTTCCGTTAAGCCGAGGATCGCAACCTTTTGAGTAAATTTTTCAAAAGAGAGAACCCAGAATCAAGAAGAATTAATTCAATTGTACGAAGTGACTGTGAAATGGTAAAAAAAAAAAAAAAAAAGTTGGGAATTGGGATCATATCTCAAGTTCCCTGCGATTGGAATTGGAATGGGATCATGGGATTACCTGATCGATGATTGTGATTGATTCGTCAGGCGAAAGTGATCGAAATTCACGACGTCTGCGTCTCGAAATTTTGTAGAGAGAATGAAAACTGAAACAAAAGCTACTTACTACTACCACCCCACTTATACGACAAAGGCGACGACCAAGACCACGACCAAACCAAAGGAGAAATGCTCGTCTTCCGTTACCCACAACGCCAGCTGGTGCCCCGTGCCCTCTCTCTCTCTCTCTCTCTTCGGTTGAAGCGTGTCCCTCACAACTTAATACTATTTTATTTCGTGTAAGGCAATCTACACACTCGTTTTTACTTCTTATACATCATTCTTAATTTCGGCCGTCAAATCAAATGAATAAAAAAATATCAATGACTTAAATTAATAAGAATGTGTGAGATATAAAAATTGGTTTGTGAATATCACAATCTTTTTATTTTATGAAAAAAAGAGAAAATGTGATCTCGTTCAATCTAATTTTGAAATTTTGGAAGAAAATTAAGTGCAGTCTCTTCCAAATGTCAAATGGGAATACAATTACTTTTGGCCTACCAAGTGAAACAGAAGGTTAAAATAGATGCGATGGTATGAAAAAAAATGTATTTATGAGAATTTAAACTCTCAAGTTAGAGAAATTTTTTATTTTTTGTAAAATACGAATACACCACATATCAATATACAAGTAATGAAGCACTTATAAATATATTTTTCACCAATTATATAATGACATATGAACAATCAACTCGTGTTCTAAAAACATTGAAAATTTTCTCCTCAAGTTCTAGTTGAGGAGTTCCAAACTAACCACTAGAAGAACCTCTGCTAAGGGTAGTGCAGGACCACCAAACTATCGTGAGCACAAGGCAACAGACTAATACTTCGCTTAGTTTTTTTTTTTTTTTTTTTTTTTTTTGTTTGAAACAAAAGATTAGTTGTTAAGTTTTGGTTTATTTTATTTTAGTGAAAAAAAGGAAGTCAAATAAAAAAGAAAGGAACCCCGCCGAGTACCAGTTATCCTCTCCGCTCCTCCTCTGTCAGTCCAGTCAATCCAGTCGGTCGACATCATCGAGTGGGTCGGCCGTGGGAGTGGGGAGTGAGTCTACTAGTCAGCGTCATCACGGCCGTAATTAAATTTTTATTACTTTTGACCCTGAATTTCATTTCTTGGGAGTTACCTCATCAAAAGGATCCGGATAGGATCCTGAAGATCTGTAAATCATATATGTTCATCATACATTATGCGATTATTTTTTGTCAGGTACGATTTGTAATTAATTTTAAATAAAAATATTTAAAATTATTTCGACTGTTTAATTAAAGATATTAGATTGTGAGTGTATGTCAGACTAGTAACCTTAATCGGAGGAATATAGTGACAGTCCAAGTGGCTGCCCAACCCATCCTGTAGTTATTTCTGTGCTTCTAGCAAAAGCAGCCTCATCTTTTCCATTCCTAACCGCAGTAAGCCAAGCTGACCCACGAAAAGTAAGGACTTTCAACGTGTCTATATGTACTCTTCACTAATTGTTGGGAAACTAGGAAGAGGATTTTCTCCCCTCCGTATCTCTCTTCCCTTTCCTTTCCTTCTACTTGGACTGTTAAGATTAAGCTACGTCAATATCTTAAATTGATTTTTTTTATACAGACAAAAAGACAAAAAGCAAAGAATAGAGTGAGAGGAGGAAAGGGAATGAGATGCACACAAAAAATTATGAAAAGCAAATAGAAATTCAAATTACAGAAATTACAAGTAACTAGTAAAAAAACCAAAACCAATAGTCTTGAGCTTATTAATTTTTTCCGCAGCACAGGCATTGCTGAGTTCCATCGAATTTTAAACATAGAAGGCCGAATGTTCAAATTTATTTAAAAACAATAAGCAGTCTAAGCACAGCAGACACTATTGTACAAAATCACATTGTCGATCAAGGCTACGATTACAAACTCCCGAAAGAATTGTGTAGCAAAGAAATTACGAGTATCTCTCACCTTTTGATTTTCCTCTGTTTTTTTTTCCTGCCATTTTTGTTTAGCTTTTTTGAGCTTCTAGCAATTCCAAGACGACGATCTCTTAAGGACTGGCTTCATTTGTTTGTCCTCTTCGAGCGAAATCATCCCCAAGTGTGACGGATCCTCTAGCATCATCTTTGCAACCAGATATCCTGCTATTGACCATGTCTGGTACTTCCTTGCTTGTTTACCAATATATCTTCCTAGTTTCCCGTCATAATATTCTGGCCAAGAATCTTTTAGCAGACGACTCTCAGCAAGCTCGATTGCCCGTCTTGCAATTTGTGGTCTTCCCGTTTTGATGCAAGCGGCAGTTAGCATCCATAAAAGCACTGCAGCAATTTGAAACACAAAAATGTTAAAAGGGTATGTATGGTAATGCGATTATAAGAGAGAGTAGGTTAAGTTGGTTTACATATGTGAAACAATGACCTAAAGATGCTCCGGTTAAAAAATGCGATTATGAGACAGAGGCTCAGGCCAAATGAGGTAGAGGAAGACCTAGAAGGACTTGAATGAGACTCTAAGAAATGACATGGAGTGCTTGGAACTAACGGAAGACTTAACGCAAAACTGAGCGCAGTGGCGTTCTAAGAATCATACAACCAAACCCCCTAGTGGGATAAGGCTTTGTTGTCGATATGTATGGTAATAATCTTGGTGTGGTTTTTTCAAAGTGGAAACTTCATCTAGACCAGTCCTGGGGTAGATAATGGGGGGCAATAACAGGTAATGAAAACAAAACAAAACGAAACACAACAAAACGAAACAAGGCGGGGCAAGGGAATGCAGCCCAACGCTAGGCAAGGGAATCAAGTATATTAGCCATGAAGCCTGCTTGGTTCTTTTACGAAATTGAAAGAATAGATAACCGCGTGAAATATACCACCACCGTTTTCCGAAAACAAACTTGAAGAAAGAGATATCAAACTTACTTTTTCAGGATGAGTATTCAGTTCAGAAGTGAAGGACTTGAACACTGTATTTAAAATATGCATTTGAAAGCTCATCTAAGCAAGAAATCTTCCATTACGTAAAACATCCATAGTCCACAACTGATTTCCACCTTGGAAACCAAGCTATAATCCATAACGCAAATAATGATAAAATGATCTACCATCACAACTATTCGATTTGAATTTTATTTGCAGCAATAACATAGAAACTTCAAGTAGAGGGACAAACCTGGCCAGGATCCCCCATTATGGTAACTCCATCTGGTATTCTTGGGATCACAACCAGTTACAATTCGCCACTCATGACTGTCTATTGCTGGATAACATATTTTTAACGGCATTTCTCCAACCAACTCTTCCCAACGAGATTCAATGAGATCCATTATAGCCACTGATTGCTCTGGGGTTGCAAGAGAAGATAGAATTGCAACACAGTTACCCAAAGCAAACCATCGAAAATCCATCCTAGCAGGACTCACGTTGCCAATAAAGTAGCCACCACGGCATGGCATAAAATCAAATACCCAATCTGGGATGGAATCAGGAATGACATTGAACTTATTTACAGCTGTGTGCGAGTACTCTTCAGTCTTGTAACGGTATATATCATTTAATTGTTGGAAATCAAGCCAGAAGTAAACTCGCATGTGGTAACTTAAGGCATGCAAACGCTTGACAATTCGCTCTATGAATTCTTTTCCTTCTCCATCAGGTTTCAGCATTCCCAATGCACATCTCAATGCCATAAAGAACAGAGCTTGGATTTCAATCGGATAACCATAAATTCCCTGGATAACCATATAACAGGTTAAATAAGATAAGACATTTTTTAAGGTTAAGTATACTAAAACCACGATATAGAAATAAAACAATCAGGCAGACAAGAAAACTTGAAGTCAGCTACAAACCTGCATCAACGTGAAGACTAATGGACAATAATATATAAACAGTGAAATAAAATGCATAATATACCATGTAAGAAATAAATAAATAATATCCTTCATGAGCTTCTAAACCTTCATCTATAGGGACTACAAATCATATTCACTTTTATTATGGGAGGAAGTGGAACTTAGTCGGCTATCCATCCATCCATACATGTCAATGGATAAGGCATTAGACACTAACAAATAGAACCGCAAGAACATGACTTTCAAGTTTCAACGCTTTAAATAATTACAAATTTCT